CGGACGAGGCTATGATCTTTATTGTGTGGTGTCTTGTGATCCTTGATTCTTCCATCAAGTCTCCATCGATTTCCATCAACGACACAACAATGCACTGCAGTACTGTGTTATACATTATACATGAAGGGTGTGGAGAACAATGACACGATCTTACATACCTATAGTTGAATTTGTTTTAGATTTAGATCAGTTAGAAGAGGTCTTGCAAAAACTTTGCTGAAGATGGAGCTCGACTCCGGACACCAAATATCGCCGCTTTCTGACAGCCTCTCACGTTCCAAAATCCCTCGTCCAACTTTACACCTCAGATTAGAGCCCTATCAGGGAAAACATCCTGCTCACACCTCGTTCTGATGGCATCTCTGAAGACCTAACATAAGCCCCTAAAATCCGGCGCAAAATAAATAAATAAATAAATAAAGCTACCACTACTTCACTGTCGGGTAACTTCTAGTGTTCCTGGAAGAAAGGATTACCGTGAATGAGTGTGGAAAATACGAAGGTCTTTGTTGGGGGGATTAATTTTTTTAATTTTCTGATTCTGATGAACACTTTATTGGTTTTGATTTAAACTTCTCTTAATAAAAAAATTCTAGAGATATTACAAGACTGACCGATGAGTAGATGGATGAATTTCTGTTTGAATTCTTTTAATTTATAGTTCGACTGATGCAGGCTTTCTAAATTAGATTTTACAAATCATAGATGAATAAAGGAGGTCCTACCATTAAAAAGCACGCAGAGGTTTTTTTTTCATATCTTGTCAAAGTGACCTAAGTTAGAGTTTACCACATACACTTTTATATATACTTAGCAGAAAAAGTAAGGACATTTGTGTTTGGAGGACGATTTCTTTGTCGTAATGCTTCTTATAAAACAGCACCTGATTGGCAGCACCGGAGTACCAGAAGAAAACAAGTGTCGAATAACAGCAAAATAAGCTGTTTGTTAGAGAAAATTTGGCAAATTTTTCATGTGTGCAACCTACAGTATACCCAGCTTTACCACTCATCTCACAAATGCATGTTCCTTACAAATGCACTGTAAAAAATGAAATGTTGGATTTACTCAACCATGTTATGTGACCTGGTTCCACTTAACTGAGTTGAGTAAATTCAAAGCAATATGCCAGTTTTTTAACCAAAGAACATGAGCATGTTGCGTTGAATTTACCCTACTCAGTTAAGTGGAACCAGGTCACATAACATGGTTAAGTAAATCCAACATTTTATTTTTAGAGTGTGTGGCACCTTTTAAAAGTGAAATTAACGGCTTTCTGCAGCGGTATAAGATTCATCGCCAAGAAGCATTGTTACAACAAATAAATAATACCCTACCAAACACTAATTCAATAACTTCTTGTGCTACCTTTAAATTTAGTATTTTAGTACTATTTTTCCTAAAATATTTTATTTAAAGTTTGCACTAGTAATTGAGAGAAAATAATAAAATCTTATCCTGTACAATTTTTATGCAATTTTATCATAAGTTTAAATTGGGTTTTCATTTTTGTATCAAATTGAATTTAATGTTTATAAATGTTTTGTTTTCTTAATTCTCAAAAAAAAAATAATAACAATAATATGTGTACACATATAAAAGGAACATTGAAAGATCTTGTTAGAAGCATGAACAGTTGTATTATAAAACAATTAATATACTTAATTTATTCATATTTTAAAACACATTAATTTTAATGTATTAAAAAACTAGAAAGATTAGCAGTTTTTAGTTTTTCATGCTAACTAAAAAGGGTTTGCCCATACTGGGTAAAGATTATTTACTTCTTAACCTCTTCATGTTCTGCAAAGCTCCTTATTGTGTTTCTCATTTATCCATTCATTCACACTGACAAAAAATGTTTTCTGTTATTTATTTAATATTATTAAAACAGCACGTTTATGTTCTCACTCATATACTCATATTATGGCAGAAGAGGGTTCAATATCTCACCCAGGAACTGGATGCTGCAGGGCCAGGAGAGGGAACCTCTGATTGGACAAAGACAGCCACTATATTTTTTATTCTTATCATTTTCATCTTTTTTACAAACATCTTTCATTGATGAGTCAAAGGATGATCATTTTATTGACCTTGAAACAATTTTTTATTAAAAACTCAATGTAGAATGGCCCAAATAAATAAACAAATAAAATAAAAGTAAAGTGTGCTCTTTTACACAGCTAAAATAATTCGACAATAAACTCCTGTGTGCTCTGTTTGTAACTCGGGCACAAACATAAGCTGTTTTTTTTTTCTCAGACATGAAAACTTGTTTGAGGTTGAAGCTCGAGGCGCTAACTGTAAATAGAAAAGAAGGCTTTTATATTTATAACAAGGAGGTGGCAAAGTTATTCAGCCAGCGCCGAGGCCCTGCATTACCGGAAGTTTGTGGCCTGAGCTGGCTCCGTTCTCCATTTTGTTTTTGGGGCTAAATATACAATAATAAAACGGCTGGCTGATTTATTTCAGCCCTCATACAATTCATCTCCGAGGAAGACAAGAAAGAAAGACAGAGGAAGAGACAGACGTCTCCGGAATACTGAGCAACATTAAGTGATAATTACAGAGAGATGCATGGACGGAGATGAGGTTTCCCCCCTTTTCTTCTTCTCTTCCTTTTCTTCTGCCACCACAGAGAGTGGCGTCTCCAAACTAAAGTAGGGCGCCCACTATATTAGACTTCCAATGACTGGCTATGATTGTATTATCGGATCCCACGAGAGATAAAAGAAAAGCAGCACATAGTCAACACAAGCCTTGGTTTGAATGCTCAACGATCAGCGTCTCTTTAATGTCAAACATGGCGTTTTTTTCAAAAACCGTCCTTACACATAAAGTCACAAACGATTTAAACTTAAACATCGTCTTTATCTTTTTCAAGTCCGTTTTTTTCTTCAAACACGCAAGTATGCCCACACACACACACAAATAAACACACACTCATCCTCCACCATGCACTCGACTTCACCACCAGTCCACCGCACTCCTCTCAGAGCTCTTTGATCCCCGGTCGAGGGTCCTCTCCGCGGTGCCTCCGTCTGAATTCCAGAGATTCTGGGATAATTCAAACGTTTCACGGCACATACTTGCTCCCCCCAGGAGACAGCGGCGGGAATGGAAAATGCCACCACGGTCCCCAGCTCACTCTCCCTCCATTGTCTCTACTCTTTAATCAGACCCTCTCTGTGGCTCGCGCTGCCACCGTGGTGTGTTGTCTCAGCCTGGGAAAATGCCGGCCTAAGTGGCTGTTATGTGCTGAGGCGCAGACCACAGGGACCCAGTGGAGTGCCGCTGGAGCCCTCTGTGCCAGCCGTGGGTCTCTGAGCGGCTAGCGCACACAATGAGTGAGGTCCCGGGTTTGGATGCAAACTTACATAACAGTAATAACTGCATCTATTTACTTTTTGTGTGTGTGTGGGTGTGTGGACTTCCATCAGTAAATCAGGCATCGTCGTAATCACAGGCCAGAGCCAAAGCCCAATTATAAATCATCTGTGTTATTTGTTCCGAAGGAGTTGCTGGTTGGAAACTGTCACTGTCACACAAACACGGCAGACTGGAGAAAGTCGACGGTGATTGCTTGGCCGACAGGGAGTTTCCTGTCATGAAGTCAAACAAACGGTCAAAACAAAGGCCTTGTGTTTCCCTTAGGCAAAGTGAAAAGCTGGTCAGCACCCAGAACTATCCCAGGTTTTGTTTGGGGTCAGATTTACATTAAGGCTCGTCACCGAGGTTAGTCTGACTGTACGTTCAGCTCAGGTCAAACTTACATGCACTGTGTGAAACACTGCCGCCCTGCAATACTTTATATTTAGCTCTTGAATAGAGGTTTTTTATGAGGTGCCATAAATTTGATTTACATAAAAAAGAAAAAGAATGAGGCTCATGTATGCCTGTTCTGTGGTTCCACCGGGCCAAGACGAAGCCTTTTGTGTTCACCCTGTTTGCCATGGGAAAAAATCTGAAACAAATAAGTTGCCTGGTCGGCCCCCATCAGCGCAAACAACACTTCTAAAGACTGGGGATTGTGCTGAAAGGGTGTGGCGTGTTCCAAAGGAACTACTTGTTTATTCTTGCTGTGCCGGAAAAAAAAAATCAAAAGGAACCTTTTTTTTAAATCCAAAATGGAAAGGAAATAAACAAGTATTGAACAGACAATGTGGGCTGGCACAAGCGTGCAGTTGTGTAGCAGGCGGCGTACTTGAAGTGTTGTGAGGCCTCATCTACGCCACGCTGCATGTTTTTTTTTAAAATAAATATAATAAGTCAAATTGTCAGCCTCTGTCTTGTTTTATCCTAATCCTGTCGCTATTAAACTTTGATTGTTTTCTTAAATGATTAATAGCTGAGAGGAAATTGTAAATGGTATTGGAAACACTTTTGGGAGAGTGTTATTAAGCTAAATTAAGAACATTCTTTCTCTGTATTTTAATATAAAGTAAAGTGGTTCTCTAGCTATTTTTGAAGAAATCCCTTTATGATCTAATGAGCAAAATTTGACATTAAAATAAACTCAATCAGAATTGTTGCTGATCTGAGGTAGGTAACATCCAGGGTATAAAATGTATTTGATAAGTTTGATAAAGTTTTAAGGAAAACAAATTAATGATAATTGATTGAGTCATCCCTATGTTTCTCCTTACAATGCATGCACCGTAATTCTGTATTTTTCATTTGTTAATAGTTATTTTAATCAGCACATTAT